AAAGGGGATATTACCGACATAAAATAAATATTCAATTTCAATAATAATAGTTTATTTTTCATTTATAAATTTTTCAAATTGGTATTCATCCAAATTGGAAAAATTTGTAAATGAAAAAAAAAAGAGCAGTTTCTATTCGATCTGTCACATAAGATGATCTGTCACATAATAATTTTTATCAGTAAATATAGTTTTGTCAAAAGACTAAATACCAAATTTAAATCGTGATGTTATATTTTTAAAATTAAGAGCTCTATCCCAAGCTTGGAGAAAAATTTGTGGGATATCATAAATGCTAACAGTTTGACCAGGGTGTGATAACTTTTTGTTATAATTTTGTTTACGCAAGTAATTTTAGCGCTAAGGCTTTTATAAACATTCACTCGAGAATTCTTTCGTGCGGAATTAATCTACAAAGGAATTATGCTGTTGGAATCCTTAATGATTGTGCAATTAGAAATTTACAAAACTTCAATAATCGTCCATTATCTATTGTTATTTAGCAATCATTACAAAAGCATTGCAGGAGACTTTGGACAATGTCCAAAATGTCCAAAATCTTCCCATAAACTGTGAATTAAAAAAATCAAGGAAATTGTGACAAACTTTAATTATTACAAATACTTACATCCCCAAACTTCTGCAGGTAACCGCTTGTACTAAAAGAAACTCTTGCAGAGTTCTTAACTAAGATTTAAACGATTCACTTGGAGTTGAAAATTTTACATCAAAGAACCAAAAAATTATTTTTTCACTTTAAAATTTGTCTTTTAGCGGGAAATTGTCACCAAAATATTTTAAAGTTAAGAGCGTATTTCTACCAACATATTAACCATAGACAAGATTGTCCTAATGTTAACAGGATAGGATATTTCGAAGTGTCCATTCTCTCCCTGTGTCTGAAGTCTCCTTGTCAGAGAAAGGGGTCTCAGAGCATTACATTGCTCCTTCTGGTCAAGCAGTCAACAAGAATGTGTACATTTCAAAATGCCTGGTTAAATCATGCGGTAGTGGTGTAGTGGTAGAGCGCTCGCTTCATAAACGAGTGGTTCCGAGTTCGATCCCCACCACGTCACTGGTAGTATCGCGCTCAACTCGTTTCTCCGCGCAGCAGCCTTGTTCGTCGAGGTTCATGTTTTGGAGTTATAGAGTTGAGAGAGGGTTATAGCCACAAATAAGTAGCCTCCTTGTCTGTAGTGGCCTTCTCGGCCTTGAGGAGGTGAATTAAAATAAAAAATAAAAATAAAAAAAAATTAAAGAAGTTCATCAACAAGGTTTATAAAAACAAAAAAGCTGTGTTCTGGCCTGATCTCACCTCCCCACACTATTCAATAGTGTGGGGAGATGAGATCAGGCCAGAACACAATTTTATCATACAAGATTATCTATAAGGCAAAAATATTGAATATGTGCCGAGAGACATAAACTCTGCTGATGAACCTGAATTGCATCCAATCGAGGATTTTTGGACTGAAATTAAAAGATTCGTGTATGCAGACAATTGGCATGCTAAAAATCTCCACTAACTAAGAAATCAAATAGAGTATTGTATATAGGCTTGGGGGAAGTACCTTTAAAAAAGTTGACCATGTACGGTGAAATGGAGTGATAAACAAATTTTTTTTTTTTTAAATTTTGTAAAATACAAATTTTTTGTTAATTTGCTTTATAAATTTAAGAAAATGATAACTCCGTTCAAGAGATATTCATTTTCAAAGTTTGTCTGGATTTTTAGTTGCAACATGTTAGCACACATAAAAATAGCAATCATTAGCATCCATAGCAATCACATAAAATTACACCTTCAGAACAAACCTCATATTGACACTCATGCTGAATTTAGTGTATATCGCAATCAAATTAGTTATTAACTTTGTCTCAAAATTAGCAATTCTAGCCCACTAACCATGTAATACATGACCCATGTACTACGTGGTCCACTAACCATGTACTACAAATATATGATGCATTTAAATTTTTACTCAAATATATCAGAAACAGCAGTTTCAAAAGAATTGCATGTTCGAACTTTCTGCAATGGCAAGCTCTTTTCCACCTGGATTAGACTAAGTCTAAATATTATGCTAATAAACACAAAACCCAAAATTTAATTAGGAATTATTTAATACTTAACTCTGTAAATTCAATTAGATTTAAAAAAACTGTAATATATTTGGTAGCCTAGTAATGAATACTAACTAATTTTTTAATATAAGAAACAATTTTTATCACAAATAAATAATCATATAACAAATAAATATTGTATTAGTAAATAAACAAAGGTTACCATCAAAAAGATCATTTTCTTTAGGCATAACTACACCTAAAGAGAAAATTAGGAACATCAAGCAAAATAGAAAATTAGGAACATCAAGCAAAATAGAAAATTAGGAACATCAAGTAAATATTTAAGTTAGCAACATTTTTTATATATATAAAAAAGTAATTACCTTGACTTTTCCTGCGACTTACTTCATTTTGGGGAACAACTATGACATCTTGAAAATAATAAAAAAGAAGTTTAAAGATATTTATAGCGTACATAATAATTCTCAAAACACTGGTATATTCTACAATATGTTATTAGTTGAAACAATAATAACAATAATACTAATACTGATAATAATAACAAATGATAACAATAATAAAATATTAATAGATGATGATGATGATAGTGATGGTGGTGGTGGTGATGATGATGATAATGATGATGATGATGATGATGATGATAATGATGATGATAATGATGATGATGATAACAATAATAATAAAATTAACAATAAAAATAATAATATAAATAACAATAATAACAAAAATGATAACAACAATATAAATAGCAACAAAAAACAATAAAAAGAACCTCCTTCTCTGTTATATGGATCATCTGCATATAGAGTAGAATAAGTTTCAAACTCTTTATTTTTTGTTTTGCAACAAGTACAACTAGGAATACAACAATTTGCAAAAGCACCACCACAACAAGTTGCACAGAATGCTGGACAACATAAAGGCAGACATACCCATAGTAGCCATATCAATAAAAATAATAATGCAATTGCTATTATCAACCATAAAATCCATAAATAGTTTGTAGTTGGACTTGGGCTTAATAAACAATCTGCAGACTGAGTAACAGAAACAGAGCTCACGCTATAATCAGGAGCCATAAAACTTACAAAATTCATATATCCAGTAGTGGTTGTTAAGATATTTTTTATTTTGTAAGCATTGATGCATGTTATATTTCTATAGTTCCAAGAAATTTTTGTTACCGTTGAATTTATTTGGTTTATACTAACTATGAAAACAGAATTCTGAGAACTACCACTAAAGGAATTTATTTTTGAAATAAGAACTGACATCGCATAGCAGTTGGACATAATGTAAAGTTTACTTTGGGAAACTAACATACTAAAATCAATTAAGGAAAAATAGCTCTGATAAGAGATAGTTGTAGTGACCAATTTTGATACTGAATCACCACATGTATTTTGAACATATATCATGTATTGAAACATATTGTTTTTAAAAAAAGAGTCTTTTAAATTTTGATAAAATTGCATATCAACTAATGCACAAACTTGCAAACTTACTTGATCAAAATAAATCCACGATAGATTTGAATAATCTGAACGCAAACTCACAGTCAAGTTTCTTGTAAAACCTTCTTCTTTATCAAAAAAACTGTCCTCAGGTAAATAATAAGAATAGAAATCTCCAACAACAATCATTTCTGAAATTTGAAAAAAATTCTCAACAGGTTTACTGTAAGAAGAACAAATTCCATAGAGTTCATCACTTGTGGTCATAAGAGTAAATTCTGGTGATAAAACATCAGCGAAACGTTTTTGTGGTAAAATTAAGCTGCGATAACTTTTAACTGTAGAACAGAAACAAACCTTAGGAGAATCACAAAAGCCCCATTTGAAGAGTCTCATACTACTGTTGATAGAAGAAAATGCAACATCATTAATAACTTTAGTTTGAAAAAAACTCCGAAGTTTTGATATTAATAGTAACTCTTCATCAACAAGAATCTTATAGTTTGTTAAACTTAAAAAACTAGCAACATAAACAAAGCTCAATGACGGACTTTTAGATAATGTTATTGTTAAATCAATAAATGCATAGCCCCCTAGCTTATTAGTAGCTTTTAACTTATAATAATAAACATACTGAACAACATTTTGCGTTCCTAACCGAGGATATCCTCTTATACTTTGCTTATTTGAATCTAAAGCAATCCATTCATTAAAAGGTAAAGGTTCGTAATTATAAGTAAATAGTTCTAAATATAGACTTTTTGTGCTACCATAAATCCTATCAAAAAAAGTGTTTTCATTGATTTCAAAGTAAAGTTCCTGGCAAAACTGGGCTGATATATTCGGTGGAAATTGTGGATCAGGAGGGCTAATAGAAAAATTTTTACAAGAATTAAGAAAAACCTCGTTTTCTTCCAAATATATAAACTCAGGCTGAAACATTTGACTATAAATTGAACTAAATGATGCTGAAGTTTTAGATCTAAAACTTAAAATATTTTGTGTTGAACATTCATCAGACACAAATATAAATGAACTCCATAACAAAAAAATATTTATATAACTAGTAGTCCTTGTAACAGAGAAACTGCCAGTAATAAAAGAATCAACAGAAAAAATGCCTTGAGATTGTGATATAAAATAAGAAAGTAACTTAGTTTCTTGAATATAAAACAAAAGAGATACATCTTTCATACCGATGAACAAAGGAGAAAATGATCGCAATGATAAACTTCTCATATAGTTTGGGCCTAGAGGTGGCAATTTAACATTAAAGATAAACTTTTTAATCCCAACATTTTTGTCACTGTCCGTTGCTTTTAACAAAAAAACCCATTGCGCTTTAGTATAGCTGATGCTGCTAACAAAGCCATTTAAACGAAAGCTACTTCCAGATTGAACAAACTCTATCCAACTGTCAACAGAAACAGAAAGTCCACTTTCTGTAGTGAGCTCAACAGCCAGTTTCGTCATGTCACCGTCTTTCGCATCTACAAAAGTTGTAACAGGTAGGTTAAACGAAAAGCGGTAAACATTGATGTTAATTGTATATTCTTGTGACGGCTGATCTGGAACAGGTGCGTTGCGATCAATAGCGCAATTGTCTGATAAGTTGACATCAACTGAGTTGAGGTAAAAGTTTATGTTTGCTAAAACACTAACCAAGTCTGGATGGACTTTACCGTTTGCATCAAGAAATCTCTGTGATATTGACGAAGCCAAGGAACTGTCACAACTCGCGCTTGTGAACTGAACCATAGTCCATTGAATTTTTGTTTGTAATGAGCTTGTGTCGTAGCTGATTATAAGTATGGAAGATGCAGAATATGACAGGTATTTTGATATTGCCAAAAGAAATTGATTAACAAATACAGTGAAAGAACTTATTGTTGACGATGTCGTGAACGTGATAACAAACTTTTGTTGAATAGGCTTGTATCCAACGATGTTAATGTTAATCAAACGGTATGCTTCAATTTGTAATGACGTCACAGCAACAAGCCTCAGCAAGTAACTAGTTCTTTGAAGAGCGATCATATTGGATGCATAGCCTTCTATTCTCAGACCAATAGCTAAGTTGTTATTGCTCAACGCTATCCAATAAAAATCCGGCAAAGCATTTCCGTTTTCGTCACGCAAAAAAACTGACAAACGTGTTGCAACCGAAGGGGAAGAAAACAAATTACTCGGAAGAGTGATGGAAAAAAATTCACCGAACTTTACACTAACCGGGTTCAAAGTAGCTGGGCCAATTATAGGCGGATCAATAGACAAATCCATACATGGTCCAAGGAACGATTCTTTTTCCTCTACGTACATAAACTCAGGTTGAAACATCTGACTATACATAGAGCTGTACGCTCCAGTGGTTTTAGATCTAACGCTTATGATTTTCTCCAAAGAACATTGATCAGATACAAAAATATTCGAACTCCACACCAATTTTACGGTGATAAAACCATTTGTCCTTGTAACAAGGAGACTGTCTGTAATCAAAGAGTCTACCTTCACAAAGCCCTGGTTTTGTCCTATCGAGTAGGGAATCAACTTTTTTTCTTGAATATAGAACAAAACTGAAACGTCTCTCAGACTTAGCATAGCTGAAGAAATAGAACGCACTGTTAAACTTCTCATATAGTTCGGGCCTAGAGGTGGCAATTTAACATTAAAGATAAACTTTTTAATCCCAACATTTTTGTCACTGTCCGTTGCTTTTAACAAAAAAACCCATTGCGCTTTAGTATAGCTGATGCTGCTAACAAAGCCATTTAAACGAAAGCTACTTCCAGATTGAACAAACTCTATCCAACTGTCAACAGAAACAGAAAGTCCACTTTCTGTAGTGAGCTCAACAGCCAGTTTCGTCATGTCACCGTCTTTCGCATCTACAAAAGTTGTAACAGGTAGGTTAAACGAAAAGCGGTAAACATTGATGTTAATTGTATATTCTTGTGACGGCTGATCTGGAACAGGTGCATTGCGATCAATAGCGCAATTGTCTGATAAGTTGACATCAACTGAGTTGAGGTAAAAGTTTATGTTTGCTAAAACACTAACCAAGTCTGGATGGACTTTACCGTTTGCATCAAGAAATCTCTGTGATATTGACGAAGCCAAGGAACTGTCACAACTCGCGCTTGTGAACTGAACCATAGTCCATTGAATTTTTGTTTGTAATGAGCTTGTGTCGTAGCTGATTATAAGTATGGAAGATGCAGAATATGACAGGTATTTTGATATTGCCAAAAGAAATTGATTAACAAATACAGTGAAAGAACTTATTGTTGACGATGTCGTGAACGTGATAACAAACTTTTGTTGAATAGGCTTGTATCCAACGATGTTAATGTTAATCAAACGGTATGCTTCAATTTGTAATGACGTCACAGCAACAAGCCTCAGCAAGTAACTAGTTCTTTGAAGAGCGATCATATTGGATGCATAGCCTTCTATTCTCAGACCAATAGCTAAGTTGTTATTGCTCAACGCTATCCAATAAAAATCCGGCAAAGCATTTCCGTTTTCGTCACGCAAAAAAACTGACAAACGTGTTGCAACCGAAGGGGAAGAAAACAAATTACTCGGAAGAGTGATGGAAAAAAATTCACCGAACTTTACACTAACCGGGTTCAAAGTAGCTGGGCCAATTATAGGCGGATCAATAGACAAATCCATACATGGTCCAAGGAACGATTCTTTTTCCTCTACGTACATAAACTCAGGTTGAAACATCTGACTATACATAGAGCTGTACGCTCCAGTGGTTTTAGATCTAACGCTTATGATTTTCTCCAAAGAACATTGATCAGATACAAAAATATTCGAACTCCACACCAATTTTACGGTGATAAAACCATTTGTCCTTGTAACAAGGAGACTGTCTGTAATCAAAGAGTCTACCTTCACAAAGCCCTGGTTTTGTCCTATCGAGTAGGGAATCAACTTTTTTTCTTGAATATAGAACAAAACTGAAACGTCTCTCAGACTTAGCATAGCTGAAGAAATAGAACGCACTGTTAAACTTCTCATATAGTTCGGGCCTAGAGGTGGCAATTTAACATTAAAGATAAACTTTTTAATCCCAACATTTTTGTCACTGTCCGTTGCTTTTAACAAAAAAACCCATTGCGCTTTAGTATAGCTGATGCTGCTAACAAAGCCATTTAAACGAAAGCTACTTCCAGATTGAACAAACTCTATCCAACTGTCAACAGAAACAGAAAGTCCACTTTCTGTAGTGAGCTCAACAGCCAGTTTCGTCATGTCACCGTCTTTCGCATCTACAAAAGTTGTAACAGGTAGGTTAAACGAAAAGCGGTAAACATTGATGTTAATTGTATATTCTTGTGACGGCTGATCTGGAACAGGTGCGTTGCGATCAATAGCGCAATTGTCTGATAAGTTGACATCAACTGAGTTGAGGTAAAAGTTTATGTTTGCTAAAACACTAACCAAGTCTGGATGGACTTTACCGTTTGCATCAAGAAATCTCTGTGATATTGACGAAGCCAAGGAACTGTCACAACTCGCGCTTGTGAACTGAACCATAGTCCATTGAATTTTTGTTTGTAATGAGCTTGTGTCGTAGCTGATTATAAGTATGGAAGATGCAGAATATGACAGGTATTTTGATATTGCCAAAAGAAATTGATTAACAAATACAGTGAAAGAACTTATTGTTGACGATGTCGTGAACGTGATAACAAACTTTTGTTGAATAGGCTTGTATCCAACGATGTTAATGTTAATCAAACGGTATGCTTCAATTTGTAATGACGTCACAGCAACAAGCCTCAGCAAGTAACTAGTTCTTTGAAGAGCGATCATATTGGATGCATAGCCTTCTATTCTCAGACCAATAGCTAAGTTGTTATTGCTCAACGCTATCCAATAAAAATCCGGCAAAGCATTTCCGTTTTCGTCACGCAAAAAAACTGACAAACGTGTTGCAACCGAAGGGGAAGAAAACAAATTACTCGGAAGAGTGATGGAAAAAAATTCACCGAACTTTACACTAACCGGGTTCAAAGTAGCTGGGCCAATTATAGGCGGATCAATAGACAAATCCATACATGGTCCAAGGAACGATTCTTTTTCCTCTACGTACATAAACTCAGGTTGAAACATCTGACTATACATAGAGCTGTACGCTCCAGTGGTTTTAGATCTAACGCTTATGATTTTCTCCAAAGAACATTGATCAGATACAAAAATATTCGAACTCCACACCAATTTTACGGTGATAAAACCATTTGTCCTTGTAACAAGGAGACTGTCTGTAATCAAAGAGTCTACCTTCACAAAGCCCTGGTTTTGTCCTATCGAGTAGGGAATCAACTTTTTTTCTTGAATATAGAACAAAACTGAAACGTCTCTCAGACTTAGCATAGCTGAAGAAATAGAACGCACTGTTAAACTTCTCATATAGTTCGGGCCTAGAGGTGGCAATTTAACATTAAAGATAAACTTTTTAATCCCAACATTTTTGTCACTGTCCGTTGCTTTTAACAAAAAAACCCATTGCGCTTTAGTATAGCTGATGCTGCTAACAAAGCCATTTAAACGAAAGCTACTTCCAGATTGAACAAACTCTATCCAACTGTCAACAGAAACAGAAAGTCCACTTTCTGTAGTGAGCTCAACAGCCAGTTTCGTCATGTCACCGTCTTTCGCATCTACAAAAGTTGTAACAGGTAGGTTAAACGAAAAGCGGTAAACATTGATGTTAATTGTATATTCTTGTGACGGCTGATCTGGAACAGGTGCGTTGCGATCAATAGCGCAATTGTCTGATAAGTTGACATCAACTGAGTTGAGGTAAAAGTTTATGTTTGCTAAAACACTAACCAAGTCTGGATGGACTTTACCGTTTGCATCAAGAAATCTCTGTGATATTGACGAAGCCAAGGAACTGTCACAACTCGCGCTTGTGAACTGAACCATAGTCCATTGAATTTTTGTTTGTAATGAGCTTGTGTCGTAGCTGATTATAAGTATGGAAGATGCAGAATATGACAGGTATTTTGATATTGCCAAAAGAAATTGATTAACAAATACAGTGAAAGAACTTATTGTTGACGATGTCGTGAACGTGATAACAAACTTTTGTTGAATAGGCTTGTATCCAACGATGTTAATGTTAATCAAACGGTATGCTTCAATTTGTAATGACGTCACAGCAACAAGCCTCAGCAAGAAACTAGTTCTTTGAAGAGCGATCATATTGGATGCATAGCCTTCTATTCTCAGACCAATAGCTAAGTTGTTATTGCTCAACGCTATCCAATAAAAATCCGGCAAAGCATTTCCGTTTTCGTCACGCAAAAAAACTGACAAACGTGTTGCAACCGAAGGGGAAGAAAACAAATTACTCGGAAGAGTGATGGAAAAAAATTCACCGAACTTTACACTAACCGGGTTCAAAGTAGCTGGGCCAATTATAGGCGGATCAATAGACAAATCCATACATGGTCCAAGGAACGATTCTTTTTCCTCTACGTACATAAACTCAGGTTGAAACATCTGACTATACATAGAGCTGTACGCTCCAGTGGTTTTAGATCTAACGCTTATGATTTTCTCCAAAGAACATTGATCAGATACAAAAATATTCGAACTCCACACCAATTTTACGGTGATAAAACCATTTGTCCTTGTAACAAGGAGACTGTCTGTAATCAAAGAGTCTACCTTCACAAAGCCCTGGTTTTGTCCTATCGAGTAGGGAATCAACTTTTTTTCTTGAATATAGAACAAAACTGAAACGTCTCTCAGACTTAGCATAGCTGAAGAAATAGAACGCACTGTTAAACTTCTCATATAGTTCGGGCCTAGAGGTGGCAATTTAACATTAAAGATAAACTTTTTAATCCCAACATTTTTGTCACTGTCCGTTGCTTTTAACAAAAAAACCCATTGCGCTTTAGTATAGCTGATGCTGCTAACAAAGCCATTTAAACGAAAGCTACTTCCAGATTGAACAAACTCTATCCAACTGTCAACAGAAACAGAAAGTCCACTTTCTGTAGTGAGCTCAACAGCCAGTTTCGTCATGTCACCGTCTTTCGCATCTACAAAAGTTGTAACAGGTAGGTTAAACGAAAAGCGGTAAACATTGATGTTAATTGTATATTCTTGTGACGGCTGATCTGGAACAGGTGCGTTGCGATCAATAGCGCAATTGTCTGATAAGTTGACATCAACTGAGTTGAGGTAAAAGTTTATGTTTGCTAAAACACTAACCAAGTCTGGATGGACTTTACCGTTTGCATCAAGAAATCTCTGTGATATTGACGAAGCCAAGGAACTGTCACAACTCGCGCTTGTGAACTGAACCATAGTCCATTGAATTTTTGTTTGTAATGAGCTTGTGTCGTAGCTGATTATAAGTATGGAAGATGCAGAATATGACAGGTATTTTGATATTGCCAAAAGAAATTGATTAACAAATACAGTGAAAGAACTTATTGTTGACGATGTCGTGAACGTGATAACAAACTTTTGTTGAATAGGCTTGTATCCAACGATGTTAATGTTAATCAAACGGTATGCTTCAATTTGTAATGACGTCACAGCAACAAGCCTCAGCAAGTAACTAGTTCTTTGAAGAGCGATCATATTGGATGCATAGCCTTCTATTCTCAGACCAATAGCTAAGTTGTTATTGCTCAACGCTATCCAATAAAAATCCGGCAAAGCATTTCCGTTTTCGTCACGCAAAAAAACTGACAAACGTGTTGCAACCGAAGGGGAAGAAAACAAATTACTCGGAAGAGTGATGGAAAAAAATTCACCGAACTTTACACTAACCGGGTTCAAAGTAGCTGGGCCAATTATAGGCGGATCAATAGACAAATCCATACATGGTCCAAGGAACGATTCTTTTTCCTCTACGTACATAAACTCAGGTTGAAACATCTGACTATACATAGAGCTGTACGCTCCAGTGGTTTTAGATCTAACGCTTATGATTTTCTCCAAAGAACATTGATCAGATACAAAAATATTCGAACTCCACACCAATTTTACGGTGATAAAACCATTTGTCCTTGTAACAAGGAGACTGTCTGTAATCAAAGAGTCTACCTTCACAAAGCCCTGGTTTTGTCCTATCGAGTAGGGAATCAACTTTTTTTCTTGAATATAGAACAAAACTGAAACGTCTCTCAGACTTAGCATAGCTGAAGAAATAGAACGCACTGTTAAACTTCTCATATAGTTCGGGCCTAGAGGTGGCAATTTAACATTAAAGATAAACTTTTTAATCCCAACATTTTTGTCACTGTCCGTTGCTTTTAACAAAAAAACCCATTGCGCTTTAGTATAGCTGATGCTGCTAACAAAGCCATTTAAACGAAAGCTACTTCCAGATTGAACAAACTCTATCCAACTGTCAACAGAAACAGAAAGTCCACTTTCTGTAGTGAGCTCAACAGCCAGTTTCGTCATGTCACCGTCTTTCGCATCTACAAAAGTTGTAACAGGTAGGTTAAACGAAAAGCGGTAAACATTGATGTTAATTGTATATTCTTGTGACGGCTGATCTGGAACAGGTGCGTTGCGATCAATAGCGCAATTGTCTGATAAGTTGACATCAACTGAGTTGAGGTAAAAGTTTATGTTTGCTAAAACACTAACCAAGTCTGGATGGACTTTACCGTTTGCATCAAGAAATCTCTGTGATATTGACGAAGCCAAGGAACTGTCACAACTCGCGCTTGTGAACTGAACCATAGTCCATTGAATTTTTGTTTGTAATGAGCTTGTGTCGTAGCTGATTATAAGTATGGAAGATGCAGAATATGACAGGTATTTTGATATTGCCAAAAGAAATTGATTAACAAATACAGTGAAAGAACTTATTGTTGACGATGTCGTGAACGTGATAACAAACTTTTGTTGAATAGGCTTGTATCCAACGATGTTAATGTTAATCAAACGGTATGCTTCAATTTGTAATGACGTCACAGCAACAAGCCTCAGCAAGTAACTAGTTCTTTGAAGAGCGATCATATTGGATGCATAGCCTTCTATTCTCAGACCAATAGCTAAGTTGTTATTGCTCAACGCTATCCAATAAAAATCCGGCAAAGCATTTCCGTTTTCGTCACGCAAAAAAACTGACAAACGTGTTGCAACCGAAGGGGAAGAAAACAAATTACTCGGAAGAGTGATGGAAAAAAATTCACCGAACTTTACACTAACCGGGTTCAAAGTAGCTGGGCCAATTATAGGCGGATCAATAGACAAATCCATACATGGTCCAAGGAACGATTCTTTTTCCTCTACGTACATAAACTCAGGTTGAAACATCTGACTATACATAGAGCTGTACGCTCCAGTGGTTTTAGATCTAACGCTTATGATTTTCTCCAAAGAACATTGATCAGATACAAAAATATTCGAACTCCACACCAATTTTACGGTGATAAAACCATTTGTCCTTGTAACAAGGAGACTGTCTGTAATCAAAGAGTCTACCTTCACAAAGCCCTGGTTTTGTCCTATCGAGTAGGGAATCAACTTTTTTTCTTGAATATAGAACAAAACTGAAACGTCTCTCAGACTTAGCATAGCTGAAGAAATAGAACGCACTGTTAAACTTCTCATATAGTTCGGGCCTAGAGGTGGCAATTTAACATTAAAGATAAACTTTTTAATCCCAACATTTTTGTCACTGTCCGTTGCTTTTAACAAAAAAACCCATTGCGCTTTAGTATAGCTGATGCTGCTAACAAAGCCATTTAAACGAAAGCTACTTCCAGATTGAACAAACTCTATCCAACTGTCAACAGAAACAGAAAGTCCACTTTCTGTAGTGAGCTCAACAGCCAGTTTCGTCATGTCACCGTCTTTCGCATCTACAAAAGTTGTAACAGGTAGGTTAAACGAAAAGCGGTAAACATTGATGTTAATTGTATATTCTTGTGACGGCTGATCTGGAACAGGTGCGTTGCGATCAATAGCGCAATTGTCTGATAAGTTGACATCAACTGAGTTGAGGTAAAAGTTTATGTTTGCTAAAACACTAACCAAGTCTGGATGGACTTTACCGTTTGCATCAAGAAATCTCTGTGATATTGACGAAGCCAAGGAACTGTCACAACTCGCGCTTGTGAACTGAACCATAGTCCATTGAATTTTTGTTTGTAATGAGCTTGTGTCGTAGCTGATTATAAGTATGGAAGATGCAGAATATGACAGGTATTTTGATATTGCCAAAAGAAATTGATTAACAAATACAGTGAAAGAACTTATTGTTGACGATGTCGTGAACGTGATAACAAACTTTTGTTGAATAGGCTTGTATCCAACGATGTTAATGTTAATCAAACGGTATGCTTCAATTTGTAATGACGTCACAGCAACAAGCCTCAGCAAGTAACTAGTTCTTTGAAGAGCGATCATATTGGATGCATAGCCTTCTATTCTCAGACCAATAGCTAAGTTGTTATTGCTCAACGCTATCCAATAAAAATCCGGCAAAGCATTTCCGTTTTCGTCACGCAAAAAAACTGACAAACGTGTTGCAACCGAAGGGGAAGAAAACAAATTACTCGGAAGAGTGATGGAAAAAAATTCACCGAACTTTACACTAACCGGGTTCAAAGTAGCTGGGCCAATTATAGGCGGATCAATAGACAAATCCATACATGGTCCAAGGAACGATTCTTTTTCCTCTACGTACATAAACTCAGGTTGAAACATCTGACTATACATAGAGCTGTACGCTCCAGTGGTTTTAGATCTAACGCTTATGATTTTCTCCAAAGAACATTGATCAGATACAAAAATATTCGAACTCCACACCAATTTTACGGTGATAAAACCATTTGTCCTTGTAACAAGGAGACTGTCTGTAATCAAAGAGTCTACCTTCACAAAGCCCTGGTTTTGTCCTATCGAGTAGGGAATCAACTTTTTTTCTTGAATATAGAACAAAACTGAAACGTCTCTCAGACTTAGCATAGCTGAAGAAATAGAACGCACTGTTAAACTTCTCATATAGTTCGGGCCTAGAGGTGGCAATTTAACATTAAAGATAAACTTTTTAATCCCAACATTTTTGTCACTGTCCGTTGCTTTTAACAAAAAAACCCATTGCGCTTTAGTATAGCTGATGCTGCTAACAAAGCCATTTAAACGAAAGCTACTTCCAGATTGAACAAACTCTATCCAACTGTCAACAGAAACAGAAAGTCCACTTTCTGTAGTGAGCTCAACAGCCAGTTTCGTCATGTCACCGTCTTTCGCATCTACAAAAGTTGTAACAGGTAGGTTAAACGAAAAGCGGTAAACATTGATGTTAATTGTATATTCTTGTGACGGCTGATCTGGAACAGGTGCGTTGCGATCAATAGCGCAATTGTCTGATAAGTTGACATCAACTGAGTTGAGGTAAAAGTTTATGTTTGCTAAAACACTAACCAAGTCTGGATGGACTTTACCGTTTGCATCAAGAAATCTCTGTGATATTGACGAAGCCAAGGAACTGTCACAACTCGCGCTTGTGAACTGAACCATAGTCCATTGAATTTTTGTTTGTAATGAGCTTGTGTCGTAGCTGATTATAAGTATGGAAGATGCAGAATATGACAGGTATTTTGATATTGCCAAAAGAAATTGATTAACAAATACAGTGAAAGAACTTATTGTTGACGATGTCGTGAACGTGATAACAAACTTTTGTTGAATAGGCTTGTATCCAACGATGTTAATGTTAATCAAACGGTATGCTTCAATTTGTAATGACGTCACAGCAACAAGCCTCAGCAAGTAACTAGTTCTTTGAAGAGCGATCATATTGGATGCATAGCCTTCTATTCTCAGACCAATAGCTAAGTTGTTATTGCTCAACGCTATCCAATAAAAATCCGGCAAAGCATTTCCGTTTTCGTCACGCAAAAAAACTGACAAACGTGTTGCAACCGAAGGGGAAGAAAACAAATTACTCGGAAGAGTGATGGAAAAAAATTCACCGAACTTTACACTAACCGGGTTCAAAGTAGCTGGGCCAATTATAGGCGGATCAATAGACAAATCCATACATGGTCCAAGGAACGATTCTTTTTCCTCTACGTACATAAACTCAGGTTGAAACATCTGACTATACATAGAGCTGTACGCTCCAGTGGTTTTAGATCTAACGCTTATGATTTTCTCCAAAGAACATTGATCAGATACAAAAATATTCGAACTCCACACCAATTTTACGGTGATAAAACCATTTGTCCTTGTAACAAGGAGACTGTCTGTAATCAAAGAGTCTACCTTCACAAAGCCCTGGTTTTGTCCTATCGAGTAGGGAATCAACTTTTTTTCTTGAATATAGAACAAAACTGAAACGTCTCTCAGACTTAGCATAGCTGAAGAAATAGAACGCACTGTTAAACTTCTCATATAGTTCGGGCCTAGAGGTGGCAATTTAACATTAAAGATAAACTTTTTAATCCCAACATTTTTGTCACTGTCCGTTGCTTTTAACAAAAAAACCCATTGCGCTTTAGTATAGCTGATGCTGCTAACAAAACCATTTAAACGAAAGCTACTTCCAGATTGAACAAACTCTATCCAACTGTCAACAGAAACAGAAAGTCCACTTTCTGTAGTGAGCTCAACAGCCAGTTTCGTCATGTCACCGTCTTTCGCATCTACAAAAGTTGTAACAGGTAGGTTAAACGAAAAGCGGTAAACATTGATGTTAATTGTATATTCTTGTGACGGCTGATCTGGAACAGGTGCGTTGCGATCAATAGCGCAATTGTCTGATAAGTTGACATCAACTGAGTTGAGGTAAAAGTTTATGTTTGCTAAAACACTAACCAAGTCTGGATGGACTTTACCGTTTGCATCAAGAAATCTCTGTGATATTGACGAAGCCAAGGAACTGTCACAACTCGCGCTTGTGAACTGAACCATAGTCCATTGAATTTTTGTTTGTAATGAGCTTGTGTCGTAGCTGATTATAAGTATGGAAGATGCAGAATATGACAGGTATTTTGATATTGCCAAAAGAAATTGATTAACAAATACAGTGAAAGAACTTATTGTTGACGATGTCGTGAACGTGATAACAAACTTTTGTTGAATAGGCTTGTATCCAACGATGTTAATGTTAATCAAACGGTATGCTTCAATTTGTAATGACGTCACAGCAACAAGCCTCAGCAAGTAACTAGTTCTTTGAAGAGCGATCATATTGGATGCATAGCCTTCTATTCTCAGACCAATAGCTAAGTTGTTATTGCTCAACGCTATCCAATAAAAATCCGGCAAAGCATTTCCGTTTTCGTCACGCAAAAAAACTGACAAACGTGTTGCAACCGAAGGGGAAGAAAACAAATTACTCGGAAGAGTGATGGAAAAAAATTCACCGAACTTTACACTAACCGGGTTCAAAGTAGCTGGGCCAATTATAGGCGGATCAATAGACAAATCCATACATGGTCCAAGGAACGATTCTTTTTCCTCTACGTACATAAACTCAGGTTGAAACATCTGACTATACATAGAGCTGTACGCTCCAGTGGTTTTAGATCTAACGCTTATGATTTTCTCCAAAGAACATTGATCAGATACAAAAATATTCGAACTCCACACCAATTTTACGGTGATAAAACCATTTGTCCTTGTAACAAGGAGACTGTCTGTAATCAAAGAGTCTACCTTCACAAAGCCCTGGTTTTGTCCTATCGAGTAGGGAATCAACTTTTTTTCTTGAATATAGAACAAAACTGAAACGTCTCTCAGACTTAGCATAGCTGAAGAAATAGAACGCACTGTTAAACTTCTCATATAGTTCGGGCCTAGAGGTGGCAATTTAACATTAAAGATAAACTTTTTAATCCCAACATTTTTGTCACTGTCCGTTGCTTTTAACAAAAAAACCCATTGCGCTTTAGTATAGCTGATGCTGCTAACAAAGCCATTTAAACGAAAGCTACTTCCAGATTGAACAAACTCTATCCAACTGTCAACAGAAACAGAAAGTCCACTTTCTGTAGTGAGCTCAACAGCCAGTTTCGTCATGTCACCGTCTTTCGCATCTACAAAAGTTGTAACAGGTAGGTTAAACGAAAAGCGGTAAACATTGATGTTAATTGTATATTCTTGTGACGGCTGATCTGGAACAGGTGCGTTGCGATCAATAGCGCAATTGTCTGATAAGTTGACATCAACTGAGTTGAGGTAAAAGTTTATGTTTGCTAAAACACTAACCAAGTCTGGATGGACTTTACCGTTTGCATCAAGAAATCTCTGTGATATTGACGAAGCCAAGGAACTGTCACAACTCGCGCTTGTGAACTGAACCATAGTCCATTGAATTTTTGTTTGTAATGAGCTTGTGTCGTAGCTGATTATAAGTATGGAAGATGCAGAATATGACAGGTATTTTGATATTGCCAAAAGAAATTGATTAACAAATACAGTGAAAGAACTTATTGTTGACGATGTCGTGAACGTGATAACAAACTTTTGTTGAATAGGCTTGTATCCAACGATGTTAATGTTAATCAAACGGTATGCTTCAATTTGTAATGACGTCACAGCAACAAGCCTCAGCAAGTAACTAGTTCTTTGAAGAGCGATCATATTGGATGCATAGCCTTCTATTCTCAGACCAATAGCTAAGTTGTTATTGCTCAACGCTATCCAATAAAAATCCGGCAAAGCATTTCCGTTTTCGTCACGCAAAAAAACTGACAAACGTGTTGCAACCGAAGGGGAAGAAAACAAATTACTCGGAAGAGTGATGGAAAAAAATTCACCGAACTTTACACTAACCGGGTTCAAAGTAGCTGGGCCAATTATAGGCGGATCAATAGACAAATCCATACATGGTCCAAGGAACGATTCTTTTTCCTCTACGTACATAAACTCAGGTTGAAACATCTGACTATACATAGAGCTGTACGCTCCAGTGGTTTTAGATCTAACGCTTATGATTTTCTCCAAAGAACATTGATCAGATACAAAAATATTCGAACTCCACACCAATTTTACGGTGATAAAACCATTTGTCCTTGTAACAAGGAGACTGTCTGTAATCAAAGAGTCTACCTTCACAAAGCCCTGGTTTTGTCCTATCGAGTAGGGAATCAACTTTTTTTCTTGAATATAGAACAAAACTGAAACGTCTCTCAGACTTAGCATAGCTGAAGAAATAGAACGCACTGTTAAACTTCTCATATAGTTCGGGCCTTGAGGTGGCAATTTAACATTAAAGATAAACTTTTTAATCCCAACATTTTTGTCACTGTCCGTTGCTTTTAACAAAAAAACCCATTGCGCTTTAGTATAGCTGATGCTGCTAACAAAGCCATTTAAACGAAAGCTACTTCCAGATTGAACAAACTCTATCCAACTGTCAACAGAAACAGAAAGTCCACTTTCTGTAGTGAGCTCAACAGCCAGTTTCGTCATGTCACCGTCTTTCGCATCTACAAAAGTTGTAACAGGTAGGTTAAACGAAAAGCGGTAAACATTGATGTTAATTGTATATTCTTGTGACGGCTGATCTGGAACAGGTGCGTTGCGATCAATAGCGCAATTGTCTGATAAGTTGACATCAACTGAGTTGAGGTAAAAGTTTATGTTTGCTAAAACACTAACCAAGTCTGGATGGACTTTACCGTTTGCATCAAGAAATCTCTGTGATATTGACGAAGCCAAGGAACTGTCACAACTCGCGCTTGTGAACTGAACCATAGTCCATTGAATTTTTGTTAGTAATGAGCTTGTGTCGTAGCTGATTATAAGTATGGAAGATGCAGAATATGACAGGTATTTTGATATTGCCAAAAGAAATTGATTAACAAATACAGTGAAAGAACTTATTGTTGACGATGTCGTGAACGTGATAACAAACTTTTGTTGAATAGGCTTGTATCCAACGATGTTAATGTTAATCAAACGGTATGCTTCAATTTGTAATGACGTCACAGCAACAAGCCTCAGCAAGTAACTAGTTCTTTGAAGAGCGATCATATTGGATGCATAGCCTTCTATTCTCAGACCAATAGCTAAGTTGTTATTGCTCAACGCTATCCAATAAAAATCCGGCAAAGCATTTCCGTTTTCGTCACGCAAAAAAACTGACAAACGTGTTGCAACCGAAGGGGAAGAAAACAAATTACTCAGAAGAGTGATGGAAAAAAATTCACCGAACTTTACACTAACCGGGTTCAAAGTAGCTGGGCCAATTATAGGCGGATCAATAGACAAATCCATACATGGTCCAAGGAACGATTCTTTTTCCTCTACGTACATAAACTCAGGTTGAAACATCTGACTATACATAGAGCTGTACGCTCCAGTGGTTTTAGATCTAACGCTTATGATTTTCTCCAAAGAACATTGATCAGATACAAAAATATTCGAACTCCACACCAATTTTACGGTGATAAAACCATTTGTCCTTGTAACAAGGAGACTGTCTGTAATCAAAGAGTCTACCTTCACAAAGCCCTGGTTTTGTCCTATCGAGTAGGGAATCAACTTTTTTTCTTGAATATAGAACAAAACTGAAACGTCTCTCAGACTTAGCATAGCTGAAGAAATAGAACGCACTGTTAAACTTCTCATATAGTTCGGGCCTAGAGGTGGCAATTTAACATTAAAGATAAACTTTTTAATCCCAACATTTTTGTCACTGTCCGTTGCTTTTAACAAAAAAACCCATTGCGCTTTAGTATAGCTGATGCTGCTAACAAAGCCATTTAAACGAAAGCTACTTCCAGATTGAACAAACTCTATCCAACTGTCAACAGAAACAGAAAGTCCACTTTCTGTAGTGAGCTCAACAGCCAGTTTCGTCATGTCACCGTCTTTCGCATCTACAAAAGTTGTAACAGGTAGGTTAAACGAAAAGCGGTAAACATTGATGTTAATTGTATATTCTTGTGACGGCTGATCTGGAACAGGTGCGTTGCGATCAATAGCGCAATTGTCTGATAAGTTGACATCAACTGAGTTGAGGTAAAAGTTTATGTTTGCTAAAACACTAACCAAGTCTGGATGGACTTTACCGTTTGCATCAAGAAATCTCTGTGATATTGACGAAGCCAAGGAACTGTCACAACTCGCGCTTGTGAACTGAACCATAGTCCATTGAATTTTTGTTTGTAATGAGCTTGTGTCGTAGCTGATTATAAGTATGGAAGATGCAGAATATGACAGGTATTTTGATATTGCCAAAAGAAATTGATTAACAAATACAGTGAAAGAACTTATTGTTGACGATGTCGTGAACGTGATAACAAACTTTTGTTGAATAGGCTTGTATCCAACGATGTTAATGTTAATCAAACGGTATGCTTCAATTTGTAATGACGTCACAGCAACAAGCCTCAGCAAGTAACTAGTTCTTTGAAGAGCGATCATATTGGATGCATAGCCTTCTATTCTCAGACCAATAGCTAAGTTGTTATTGCTCAACGCTATCCAATAAAAATCCGGCAAAGCATTTCCGTTTTCGTCACGCAAAAAAACTGACAAACGTGTTGCAACCGAAGGGGAAGAAAACAAATTACTCGGAAGAGTGATGGAAAAAAATTCACCGAACTTTACACTAACCGGGTTCAAAGTAGCTGGGCCAATTATAGGCGGATCAATAGACAAATCCATACATGGTCCAAGGAACGATTCTTTTTCCTCTACGTACATAAACTCAGGTTGAAACATCTGACTATACATAGAGCTGTACGCTCCAGTGGTTTTAGATCTAACGCTTATGATTTTCTCCAAAGAACATTGATCAGATACAAAAATATTCGAACTCCACACCAATTTTACGGTGATAAAACCATTTGTCCTTGTAACAAGGAGACTGTCTGTAATCAAAGAGTCTACCTTCACAAAGCCCTGGTTTTGTCCTATCGAGTAGGGAATCAACTTTTTTTCTTGAATATAGAACAAAACTGAAACGTCTCTCAGACTTAGCATAGCTGAAGAAATAGAACGCACTGTTAAACTTCTCATATAGTTCGGGCCTAGAGGTGGCAATTTAACATTAAAGATAAACTTTTTAATCCCAACATTTTTGTCACTGTCCGTTGCTTTTAACAAAAAAACCCATTGCGCTTTAGTATAGCTGATGCTGCTAACAAAGCCATTTAAACGAAAGCTACTTCCAGATTGAACAAACTCTATCCAACTGTCAACAGAAACAGAAAGTCCACTTTCTGTAGTGAGCTCAACAGCCAGTTTCGTCATGTCACCGTCTTTCGCATCTACAAAAGTTGTAACAGGTAGGTTAAACGAAAAGCGGTAAACATTGATGTTAATTGTATATTCTTGTGACGGCTGATCTGGAACAGGTGCGTTGCGATCAATAGCGCAATTGTCTGATAAGTTGACATCAACTGAGTTGAGGTAAAAGTTTATGTTTGCTAAAACACTAACCAAGTCTGGATGGACTTTACCGTTTGCATCAAGAAATCTCTGTGATATTGACGAAGCCAAGGAACTGTCACAACTCGCGCTTGTGAACTGAACCATAGTCCATTGAATTTTTGTTAGTAATGAGCTTGTGTCGTAGCTGATTATAAGTATGGAAGATGCAGAATATGACAGGTATTTTGATATTGCCAAAAGAAATTGATTAACAAATACAGTGAAAGAACTTATTGTTGACGATGTCGTGAACGTGATAACAAACTTTTGTTGAATAGGCTTGTATCCAACGATGTTAATGTTAATCAAACGGTATGCTTCAATTTGTAATGACGTCACAGCAACAAGCCTCAGCAAGTAACTAGTTCTTTGAAGAGCGATCATATTGGATGCATAGCCTTCTATTCTCAGACCAATAGCTAAGTTGTTATTGCTCAACGCTATCCAATAAAAATCCGGCAAAGCATTTCCGTTTTCGTCACGCAAAAAAACTGACAAACGTGTTGCAACCGAAGGGGAAGAAAACAAATTACTCAGAAGAGTGATGGAAAAAAATTCACCGAACTTTACACTAACCGGGTTCAAAGTAGCTGGGCCAATTATAGGCGGATCAATAGACAAATCCATACATGGTCCAAGGAACGATTCTTTTTCCTCTACGTACATAAACTCAGGTTGAAACATCTGACTATACATAGAGCTGTACGCTCCAGTGGTTTTAGATCTAACGCTTATGATTTTCTCCAAAGAACATTGATCAGATACAAAAATATTCGAACTCCACACCAATTTTACGGTGATAAAACCATTTGTCCTTGTAACAAGGAGACTGTCTGTAATCAAAGAGTCTACCTTCACAAAGCCCTGGTTTTGTCCTATCGAGTAGGGAATCAACTTTTTTTCTTGAATATAGAACAAAACTGAAACGTCTCTCAGACTTAGCATAGCTGAAGAAATAGAACGCACTGTTAAACTTCTCATATAGTTCGGGCCTAGAGGTGGCAATTTAACATTAAAGATAAACTTTTTAATCCCAACATTTTTGTCACTGTCCGTTGCTTTTAACAAAAAAACCCATTGCGCTTTAGTATAGCTGATGCTGCTAACAAAGCCATTTAAACGAAAGCTACTTCCAGATTGAACAAACTCTATCCAACTGTCAACAGAAACAGAAAGTCCACTTTCTGTAGTGAGCTCAACAGCCAGTTTCGTCATGTCACCGTCTTTCGCATCTACAAAAGTTGTAACAGGTAGGTTAAACGAAAAGCGGTAAACATTGATGTTAATTGTATATTCTTGTGACGGCTGATCTGGAACAGGTGCGTTGCGATCAATAGCGCAATTGTCTGATAAGTTGACATCAACTGAGTTGAGGTAAAAGTTTATGTTTGCTAAAACACTAACCAAGTCTGGATGGACTTTACCGTTTGCATCAAGAAATCTCTGTGATATTGACGAAGCCAAGGAACTGTCACAACTCGCGCTTGTGAACTGAACCATAGTCCATTGAATTTTTGTTTGTAATGAGCTTGTGTCGTAGCTGATTATAAGTATGGAAGATGCAGAATATGACAGGTATTTTGATATTGCCAAAAGAAATTGATTAACAAATACAGTGAAAGAACTTATTGTTGACGATGTCGTGAACGTGATAACAAACTTTTGTTGAATAGGCTTGTATCCAACGATGTTAATGTTAATCAAACGGTATGCTTCAATTTGTAATGACGTCACAGCAACAAGCCTCAGCAAGTAACTAGTTCTTTGAAGAGCGATCATATTGGATGCATAGCCTTCTATTCTCAGACCAATAGCTAAGTTGTTATTGCTCAACGCTATCCAATAAAAATCCGGCAAAGCATTTCCGTTTTCGTCACGCAAAAAAACTGACAAACGTGTTGCAACCGAAGGGGAAGAAAACAAATTACTCGGAAGAGTGATGGAAAAAAATTCACCGAACTTTACACTAACCGGGTTCAAAGTAGCTGGGCCAATTATAGGCGGATCAATAGACAAATCCATACATGGTCCAAGGAACGATTCTTTTTCCTCTACGTACATAAACTCAGGTTGAAACATCTGACTATACATAGAGCTGTACGCTCCAGTGGTTTTAGATCTAACGCTTATGATTTTCTCCAAAGAACATTGATCAGATACAAAAATATTCGAACTCCACACCAATTTTACGGTGATAAAACCATTTGTCCTTGTAACAAGGAGACTGTCTGTAATCAAAGAGTCTACCTTCACAAAGCCCTGGTTTTGTCCTATCGAGTAGGGAATCAACTTTTTTTCTTGAATATAGAACAAAACTGAAACGTCTCTCAGACTTAGCATAGCTGAAGAAATAGAACGCACTGTTAAACTTCTCATATAGTTCGGGCCTTGAGGTGGCAATTTAACATTAAAGATAAACTTTTTAATCCCAACATTTTTGTCACTGTCCGTTGCTTTTAACAAAAAAACCCATTGCGCTTTAGTATAGCTGATGCTGCTAACAAAGCCATTTAAACGAAAGCTACTTCCAGATTGAACAAACTCTATCCAACTGTCAACAGAAACAGAAAGTCCACTTTCTGTAGTGAGCTCAACAGCCAGTTTCGTCATGTCACCGTCTTTCGCATCTACAAAAGTTGTAACAGGTAGGTTAAACGAAAAGCGGTAAACATTGATGTTAATTGTATATTCTTGTGACGGCTGATCTGGAACAGGTGCGTTGCGATCAATAGCGCAATTGTCTGATAAGTTGACATCAACTGAGTTGAGGTAAAAGTTTATGTTTGCTAAAACACTAACCAAGTCTGGATGGACTTTACCGTTTGCATCAAGAAATTTCTGTGATATTGACGAAGCCAAGGAACTGTCACAACTCGCGCTTGTGAACTGAACCATAGTCCATTGAATTTTTGTTAGTAATGAGCTTGTGTCGTAGCTGATTATAAGTATGGAAGATGCAGAATATGACAGGTATTTTGATATTGCCAAAAGAAATTGATTAACAAATACAGTGAAAGAACTTATTGTTGACGATGTCGTGAACGTGATAACAAACTTTTGTTGAATAGGCTTGTATCCAACGATGTTAATGTTAATCAAACGGTATGCTTCAATTTGTAATGACGTCACAGCAACAAGCCTCAGCAAGTAACTAGTTCTTTGAAGAGCGATCATATTGGATGCATAGCCTTCTATTCTCAGACCAATAGCTAAGTTGTTATTGCTCAACGCTATCCAATAAAAATCCGGCAAAGCATTTCCGTTTTCGTCACGCAAAAAAACTGACAAACGTGTTGCAACCGAAGGGGAAGAAAACAAATTACTCAGAAGAGTGATGGAAAAAAATTCACCGAACTTTACACTAACCGGGTTCAAAGTAGCTGGGCCAATTATAGGCGGATCAATAGACAAATCCATACATGGTCCAAGGAACGATTCTTTTTCCTCTACGTACATAAACTCAGGTTGAAATATCTGACTATACATAGAGCTGTACGCTCCAGTGGTTTTAGATCTAACGCTTATGATTTTCTCCAAAGAACATTGATCAGATACAAAAATATTCGAACTCCACACCAATTTTACGGTGATAAAACCGTTTGTCCTAGTAACAAGGAGACTGTCTGTAATCAAAGAGTCTACCTTCACAAAGCCCTGGTTTTGTCCTATCGAGTAGGGAATCAACTTTTTTTCTTGAATATAGAACAAAACTGAAACGTCTCTCAGACTTAGCATAGCTGAAGAAATAGAACGCACTGTTAAACTTCTCATATAGTTCGGGCCTAGAGGTGGCAATTTAACATTAAAGATAAACTTTTTAATCCCAACATTTTTGTCACTGTCCGTTGCTTTTAACAAAAAAACCCATTGCGCTTTAGTATAGCTGATGCTGCTAACAAAGCCATTTAAACGAAAGCTACGTCCAGATTGAACAAACTCTATCCAACTGTCAACAGAAACAGAAAGTCCACTTTCTGTAGTGAGCTCAACAGCCAGTTTCGTCATGTCACCGTCTTTCGCATCTACAAAAGTTGTAACAGGTAGGTTAAACGAAAAGCGGTAAACATTGATATTAATTGTATATTCTTGTGATGGCTGATCTGGAACAGGTGCGTTGCGATCAATAGCGCAATTGTCTGATAAGTTGACATCAACTGAGTTGAGGTAAAAGTTTATGTTTGCTAAAACACTAACCAAGTCTGGATGGACTTTACCGTTTGCATCAAGAAATCTCTGTGATATTGACGAAGCCAAGGAACTGTCACAACTCGCGCTTGTAAACTGAACCATAGTCCATTGAATTTTTGTTTGTAATGAGCTTGTGTCGTAGCTGATTATAAGTATGGAAGATCCAGAGTAAGATAAATAGTTTGCTATTGTTAAAACAAATTGGTTAAGAAATGCTGGTATAATATTTATAGCATTGAGTGTTTTAAAAGTTATATAAAAATTTTTAATAATCGGCTTATATCCTTGGATGTTTATATTTATTATGCGGTATGCTTCTATTTTTAATTGGGTAACAGCAACTAACCTAAATTGGTATATAATATTTTCAATAGCTATCATATTGGATGCATAGCCTTCTATTCTTAGATTATTAGATATAATATTACTACTTAACTGTATCCAGGAAAAATCTGGCAAAGCCTTGCCATTTTCATCAGCTAAATATACAGTTAGACTTGTTTTAGTTGAAGAGAAAGTAAATAAATTATTTGGAAGTTTAATGGAGAAGAATTCACCAAACTTTATTCCTATTGGATTTAATTGGGCTGGACCAATTATAGGTGGATTAAGAGTCAAATGCATACATGCTCCAAGGAATGCTTCTTTTTCTTCTACGTACATAAACTCAGGTTGAAACATCTGACTATATATAGAACTGTACGCTCCAGTGGTTTTAGATCTAACGCTTATGATTTTATCTAAAAAACATTGATCAGATACAAAAATATTCGAACTCCACACTAATTTTACGGTCATAAAACTATTTGTTCTTGTAACAAGGAGACTGTCTGTAATCATAGAGTCTGCTTTTACAAAGCCCTGGTTTTGTCCTATGGAGTAGGGAATTAACTTTTTTTCTTGAATATAGAACAAAACTGAAACGTCTCTCAGACTCAGCATAGCTGAAGAAACAGAATGCACTGTTAAACTTCTCATATAGTTTGGGCCTAGAGGTGGCAATTTAACATTAACGATAAACTTTTTAATCCCAACATTTTTGTCACTGTCTGTTGCTTTTAACAAAAAAATCCATTGCGCTTTAGTACAGCTGATGCTGTTAACAAAGCCATTTAAATGAAAACTATTTCCATATTGAACAAATTCTATCCAACTGTCAACGGAAACAGAAAGTTCATTTTCCGTAGTTAGCTCAACAGCGAGTTTCCTCATGTCACCATCTTTAGCATCTATGAAAGTTGTTACTGGTATGTTAAACGAAAAGCGGTAAACATTGATATTAATTGTATATTCTTGTGACGGCTGATCTGGAACAGGTGCATTGCGATCAATAGCGCAATTGTCTGATAAGTTGACATCAACTGTGTTGAGGTAAAAGTTTATGTTTGCTAAAACACTAACCAAGTCTGGATGGACTTTACCGTTTGCATCAAGAAATCTTTGTGATATTGACGAAGCCAAGGAACTGTCACAACTCGCGCTTGTGAACTGAACCATAGTCCATTGAATTTTTGTTTGTAATGAGCTTGTATCATAGCTAATGATAAGTATGGAAGATGCAGAGTAAGATAAATAGTTTGCTATTGTTAAAACAAATTGGTTTATAAATGCTGGTATAATATTTATAGTCTTGAATGTGTTTATAGTTATATAAAAATTTTTAATAATTGGCTTATATCCTTGAATGTTTATACTTATTATGCGATATGCTTCTATTTTTAATTGGGTTACAGCAACTAACCTAAACTGATAAATAATATTTTGAACAGCTATCATATTCGATGCATAGCCTTCTATTCTTAGATTAAATGAAACAATTTTGTTACTTAACTGTATCCAGTAAAAATCTGGTAAAGCCTTGCCATTTTTATCTGCTAAATATACAGTTAGACTTGTTTTAGTTGAAGATAAAGTAAATAAATTATTTGGAAGATTAATGGAGAAAAATTCACCATACTTTACTCCTATTGGATTTAATTGAGCTGGACCAATTATAGGCGGATCAATAGACAAATCCATACATGGTCCAAGGAACGATTCTTTTTCCTCTACGTACATAAACTCAGGTTGAAACATATGACTATACATAGAGCTGTAGGCTCCAGTGGTTTTAGATCTAACGCTTATGATTTTTTCCAAAGAACATTGATCTGATACAAAAATATTTGAACTCCACACCAATTTTATGGTCATAAAACCATTTGTCCTTGTAACAAGGAGACTGTCTGTAATCAAAGAGTCTACCTTCACAAAGCCCTGGTTTTGTCCTATCGAGTAGGGAATCAACTTTTTTTCTTGAATATAGAACAAAACTGAAACGTCTCTCAGACTTAGCATAGCTGAAGAAATAGAACGCACTGTTAAACTTCTCATATAGTTTGGGCCTAGTGGTGGCAATTTAACATTAAAGATAAATTTTTTAATTCCAACATTTTTGTCACTGTCCGTTGCTTTTAACAAAAAAACCCATTGCGCTTTAGTGCAGCTGATGCTGCTAACAAAGCCATTTAAACGAAAGCTACTTCCAGATTGAACAAACTCTATCCAACTGTCAACGGAAACAGATAGTCCACTTTCTGTAGTGAGCTCAACAGCCAGTTTCGTCATGTCGCCATCTTTAATATCTACAAAGGTTGTAACAGGTAGGTTAAACGAAAAGCGGTAAACATTGATATTAATTGTGTATTCTTGTGACAATTGATCTGGAATAGGTCCATTGCGATCAATAGTGCATACATCTGATATGAAGGTATCAGCTGAATTCAGAATAAAGTTAATGTTTGCTAAAACACTAAACAAATCTGGATTGATATGTTTACTATTTTCATAATGTAATTTTTGAGATACTGATGAAGCCAAAGAACTTTCACAATTCGTGTTGGTAAACTGAAACATTGTCCATTGAATTTTTGTTTGTAATAAACTGGTGTCATAACTGATAATAAGTATAGAAGATGCAGAATAGGACAGATATTTTGATATTGCAGTTATAAACTGATTAATAAATGTTGGATAAGAACTTATTATTGACAATGTGGTAAAGGTAAAAACTACATTTTGTGAAACTGACTTGTATCCTATGACATTGATGTTAATTAAACGATATGATTCAATTTGTAGTGATGTTACTGCTACAAGCCTGAACAGATAATTTGTTTGTTGAGCAGCTATAACCGTTGATATATAGCCTTCTAATCTTAGATTAATAGCTTTGTTACTGCTGATTGATATCCAATAAAAATCAGGTAAAGTGTTTCCATTTTTGTCACGTAAATAAATAGACAAACTTGTTCCAACAGAAGGGGAAGTAAACAAATCATTTGGAAGTATAATAGAGAAAAATTCACCATATTTTATTGTGATATCTGAAATAGTTGACGGGCCTATTAAGGGTGCTTGGCTAGTCAAAAAGTTACAAATGTTCAAAAATTCCTCTGTTTCACCTAAATAAGTCATTTCAGGTAAAAAGGAGTCAGAATATAACTTTTCAAAGTTTGAATTTGTTTTTGACCTGAATTTTATAATTTTTGGAATATCACAACTACTCGAAATAAAAATAGCTGAAGTCCAAACTAAATGAATCACAAGTAACATATCATTCCTTGTTACTTGCAGTTGTTCTGTTATTAATGTGTTTAAATCTGTCACACCTTGGTTTTGTTGTAAGGAATAGGGAAACAGCTTTTGCTCCTGAATGTAAAAAAGAATTCCAACATCTGTCTTCTCGTATAAATTTGGTGAAAATGAACGTATTGTTAAATTTTTTCTATAATTTGCTTGCATTTGCTTTTCAACCATGATAAAATTGAATTTTTTGAATGCAGCATTTCCAGCTTTGTCAGTTGCTTTAATAAAATATGTCCAAGTATAAGTGCTAGATATTAAAATGTTTACATAACCAATAAACTCATAGCTGTTAAATGATTTCTGTAGTTGAACCCAGTTGTCAATTGGCACTGATATTTTGCTTTCCATTAAGAAATCAATCTTTAACATGTTCATATTCCCATCAATTTTATCAACAAACGTTGTTAATGGTAAAGTGAGTCTGAAGCGATACACATTATTTTGAATGATTATGTCTTCTGTATTTGAATCAGGTACAGGTGATACATTATCATTGATGCATGCAAATCCTAAACTGTATGTTACACTTGTATTAACAAAATTCATGCTATTTAATACAGATATTAAAGAAGGATTTAATGTTCCATCATTCTTAATTTTTGAAGTAATCGTCTTAATTAAAACATCATCACAAAAGGAGCCAGTTAATGGTAATAGAGTCCACTGAATATCAGTTGAAGATGTCGTAGCCACAAACTTTATAATAATAATTGAGGATATTCTAACCGATAAATAACTTGATAATTTTGATATAAGATTTGAAAAAAATATATAGTTTCCAATAATATATGACTGAGAAGAAAAAGTAACAATATAGTTTAGTTGTAATATTTTATTATCTGAAATAATGACAGTAAAAAAATTAACAATTTCTTCAAGTAGCGGCGTTATTGCTGCAAGTTGGAACATAAAACTTGATTGTTTAGATGCAATATCAAAAGGTACATACCCTTCAATTCTTAAGCCATATTTAAATATATTGCCATTCAATGTAATCCAAGGTAATGATACAGGTTCACCATTTTGATTCCGAAGTTCTAAAGTAAGTATCATTGAACTTCCGCTCAAAGGAGGTCTAAAAAGATCACTTGGAATGCTTACAGAAAATAGACTACCAGAATCTACATCAACTTTTTGGAACTGTTGTGCTCCAAATATTGGGGGGTCAGCTGATAAATAGCTGCAGGCATCAAAAAAACTTTCAGCACTTTTTATTAGACTAAACTCAGGGGAAAACATGTTAGAATATGCTGTAAAAAATTTTCCACTGATTTTGTGTCTCAGTTGTACAATTTTATCTAATTCACAATTAATTGTTACAAAATCTGTTAGACTCCAGAGCAGAGTTATTAAAATCTCACCATCATTACGAGAAACTTTGAAATCCTCTGTAACAATTGAATCAACACTGTTGATTCCTTGCAGATTTTTTAGAGAGTAATTTATTAACTTTATTTCTTGAATGTAGAATAGAATCAAAACATCATTACTGTTTATGAAATTTTGGTAGTTTGAACGAAGTGTTAGAAGCATTTTGTATGTAGCTTGTTTTGGAGAAGATTCTAAGTTAAAGATATAAAGTTTAGTCGCAAAGTTTCCATCACTATTTGTTGCTTTTAAGATAAATTTCCAAACTAATTTGTTATACACATTCAAGGGTATATAACCAATAAGACTATCATTTCCATTACTTCTAGAAACTTGAACCCAGTTGCTTAGGGAAACAGGTTCCTCATTCTCTAACAGCAAGTCTATCTTGAGATTACTCATATCACCATCTTTAGAGTCAACAAAAGTTGTTCGCTTCAACAACAAAGTGAATCTGTATGTCTTACTAGACACATTTATGTTCAACGAAGGTTCATCAGGAACAGGATGGCTATTATCAATAGCGCAAACACCCAATTTTTCAATACTTATAGAAGTTAAAGTAAGCATCACCTTGCTTAAAGAATTTAACAACTCTACTGTTGCTTGCCCGTTATTGTAAACAAGTTTATTAGTTATTCGATTTAATTCATTGAAATTACATTCAGATGCTGCATATTCTTTAAGAGTCCATCTTATGACAATACTATTTAATAAAAAAGTTGGCTTCAAAATTACAAAAGAATCAATGGGATACATTAAGTTGTTTGAGATAGTTGTTAAAAAAATTTTGATAAATGTTGAGAAAACAATAACATTATCTAATGTCAATCGCATTGTAACAACAAAATTTTCTTTTACTTGGTAATAATTTATTATATTTACAGTAAATAATCTACTAGCATTTACTAACAATGGTGTATAAGCTAATAAGCGAAATGTATAAACAGTTTGCATTGCAGCCACATCATTTGAGGCATATCCAACAAGAACTTTACTATTAGATAAAGTGTTATTACTCAAACTTATCCAGTATAAAACAGGCAAATCATCTCCATCTTTTCCTTTTAAATAAATATTCAATTTCATGCTACTTCCATCAGCTGGCGGAGTGAAGATATCATTTGGTATATTTATTGAAAATAATGAATTAAAGGCAACATCAACTTTGATAAAAGCTAGATTATTAACTAAAGGAGGACTTGCAGATAAATAACTGCAATCTCTAATAAAACTTTCAAGGTTGCTCATAACGGTAAACTCTGGTGAATAAAAACCATTATACGCAGTTTTAAAATTGTCAAATTCTTTTGATCTGAATTGAATAATTTTACTTACATCACAAGAGAAAGAGAAAATGCTACAGCTCCATAAAAGCTTTACAGTAATAAAGTTGAAATTTCTTTCAACATTTAAATTTAATACAATTAATGTATTCACATCAATTATTCCTTGGTTTTGAAGTAGAGAATATGGTAAAATCTTTTTTTCTTGAATGTAAAATGCAAGCTCCACGTCGTTCAGAGAAACAACTTCAGCTACTGATGTCTGAAGTGTCAACGATATTTGATAATACAGTGATAATGGTTGTGTATCAATAAAAAAATTGTAAGACTTGGTGGCATAATTACCATCACTATCAGTAGCTTTAAGAAGAAAACTCCAACTTTTCTTGGTGTATGTTTCTAAACTTAAAAAACCAATCAATTGGTCTTTATTATTTGATCGCAGCAATTGAACCCAATTACTCAAAGGAACATTTTCACCATTTGGAAGCAAAAGTTGTAAAACCAACTTACTCATGTCTCCATCTTTTGCATCAATAAAAGTTGTACTTGGTAATGGCAAGATAAAACGATATAATCCATCCTTAACTGATATATTTAAGTATGCTTCATTACGCACTGGACCATTTTGATCATTAAGACATGCTAATTGTGCTGAAAAAGTAATATTTGTAACTATATAGTTAATTGTCATATTAATAACATTTTTTAAATCATTATTTGGTAACCCATTATTATCAAAAAGTTTTGATTTTAATAGTGATACTTTATCAAAGTTGCAATTTTTTAGTGTGAGATCAAACAAAGACCATTTTACAACAATCTGACCATAGAGTGTGTTTACATCAAATATAATAATTGTTGAACTAATAGATAAGTAATCAGACATTATAGAAATAAACCTAGTAATAAAATTTAGGTACGAAATTGAAAATGCCACAAAACCTTTAAAAGAAACAATAAAATTTTGCTGTATTATTGGGAATGAATTTATGCTTATATTTAAAATCCGATAACTTTCTTCCAATAATGGTGTACTTGCAACCAGCTGAAAAATGTAACTAGATTGTTGCAGAGCTTGATTGTAGGATATAAATCCATCTAAAGTTATCTTACTGGATATATTATTTCCATTTAATTCTATCCAATAAGATGAAGGCAGTTTCTCTCCATTACTTGTGCGAAGGTAAAGTAATAAGCTCATGAGTTTTCCAGTTTCTGGGGAAAAAAACAAATCTGAAGGAACAGCAATAGAAAAATAAACTCCAAAATCAACTTTAAAAGGATTAAGAATATAATTTGAAACTACTGGTGGATCAATAGAAAGATAGCTACATGCTCCATAAAATGATTCTGTAGATTGCTTTACATAAAATTCTTGATTAAAGTATTGAATGTATGTTAGATTATATTCTTTAATTGTTTTTGATCTAAAATCTATAATTGATTTCAAATTGCACCAATTTAAAAGAAATGTGGATGAACTCCATGTTAAGTAGATAGTTGTTAACCCATTATTTTTAGTAATGTTTAAACTATCAGTAATTATTTGATCAAAGTTTGGTATTCCTTGTTGGTGTAATTGAGAATATGGATAAATCTTTTTTTCTTGAATGTAAAACAAAATTTCAATACTTGAACTCTGAAATATATTCAATGAATTTGATTCCAAAATTAGAAACCTTTTATAAATCGGATCTTGAGGGGGCAATAAAAATGTAAAATTATATAATATGACAGCAGAGTTTCCATCTTTATCAATTGCTTTTAAATTAAAGTAATAATATTTGTTTTGCCAAACGCTTTTATCAACATAAAAAATTAACTCATCTTTGTTTGAAGATCTCCTCAAGCCAATCCAATAAATATTAGGAACTTGTTGATTATTAGCAAATAACCACTGTAGTTGAAGATTCCGAGTGTTACCATCTTCAGCATCAGTAAAACTATCTTGAGGTATTTCTAAGGAATATCTATAAATAGTGTTCAGTACATTTACAACTTGATAAGCTTTATTTGCAATAGGAACTCCACTCCAAATATATGATGCACTAAACAAAAATAAAATTTGTACTAACTCATATATAACAATGCACTAAGATGAATCATACACAGTATACATGCATATAAATACATGCATATATATATATATATATATATATATATATATATATATATATATATATATATATATATATATATATATATATATATATATAATTAGTTTTAGGTTTTACATTATTACTGGTTTCAAGAAGAAATATATTACTCTTCAGACTTATGGCTTTTAGATTTATGACTTTGGTAATAATCTTTAGGGCTAATTACTTTAAGTTCCTTTTCTTAAAAATACTGAGAATATTAACTAGTACCGAAAAATTACTTTATTATTACTGATAAAATTTACCATTAACATAAATTTAAAAAATTCTTAACATAAATCACAATAAACCATGTATTAACAAATACCATTAATTTAAATTATTAACTTATACTTTTATAAATTTACTTTATGAGATAACTCTTGTAAAAAAACATAATTTAATCAAACATGTTGATCAAATGTAGGCTTCAAGATATTGTCACAATAGTTTGATAGTTTATACATAATATCTGAGTTTTGTTAATAAAAAGCTTTGTTGTGCTTCTGAAACTCAAAGCGTTAATTCAAGGTATTAAAGTAAGAATTAAGGAAAAAATGAAATTAATGCAGCTACGATATAAAACAATTGCTATTTATTATAAATAAATTTTTCAAGAGAAAAAACTTATAAATTGAAAAAAATTTCTGAAGCAGAAAATACTAAATGGAATAGGAAAAACTTTTTTTATTTGATCTCAATAGTATACTAGACAATATCTTTGACATATAATCCTCAATCAATCAGAAAATTATTTTCTAGATGTAGAAATTGTATACAGAAGTTAACTCATACTACATAACTTAAAGCCAACATGAAGTATGAAATAAATTTACCAATGAAGCTGAAATTATTTACCCAAATGAAGATATTTTATTAATAACTTTGTTTTTGTTTGATTAATTAGAGTTTCAAAAAAATCTTGGGCCCTAATGTAAAAATTCTATAAAAGTTCTAAATACTCATAGTCCTATTTTTAATGCTACAGCCTTGGTATCATGTGGTCATAGCCTTAGCTTTGCTATTTTTAATCATAAAACTTTTAATGAAAGTTTGGTTTAAACATTGAGCTCATAATTTAACTTATAGTAGCATGTAAATTGAAGACATAATATTTAATTGTTTAAAACAAATACAAGATCATTTACTTTGGTCATACCACCAATAAACAAACAATCAAAATAGAAACATTAGAAGTAATTAAAAGAAAAATTAAACAAATGATCAAAACAGAATATTTATTATTTAAGATGTAACACAGAATTTAGGAAAAGTCTTACCAATAAAATTATTAAAATTACAAAGACTTAATAAATCATTATTCTTAAAAGTTTATGGTTCAATAATGCAAAATCTTTTTAATAGCAATGAAAAAAAATAGATTGGGTATTAAAATTGCTACAAAACATAAAAAAAAAAACTGATTGCAAAAAAATATATATATAAATTAATTGATTTGATTGCAAAAAAAAAAAATTAATTAATTGATTTGTTTAAGTTCTTTACATTACTTGAACCAAATTGTCTTCAAATTTAACTTAATTAAAATTTGAATCAGATGAAAGTGTGCTGAAGTGAAAGAAAATCTGAAGTAAAGTTGACATTAACATTGTTAATAACATTGACAGGGATAGAATAGTAAAAAAACATTTGAATTAAATGATTTAAATTTAATCATTTAAAATGCTTATGGATAAGTAAAAAAAAGTCTGTTGAGCAATTATGTATTACTTATTATTTTGAAATCAATGAAATAAAAGAAAATTTAATAAAAATTTCAAAAGATTAAATATCAAAATTCTGTGGAAGTTAAATTAAGTATATTTTAAATCGAAAAATTTTTTAATAAATATGCATGCATAGTGATAATAATAAAAATGATATTTTAACAACGCCCTAAAAACATTTAAAAGAACTTTAGAACCATTTTATCATAATTTCAATTGGAATATTATATATGTTAAAGTGTAGTGCTGAGGTGATTTTAGTAAACTATATTAAAACATACTAAGTAGGTTTTAATATTGTTTACTTATGTATGCACTTATAATATAAGTAGATACATAAGTAAATTATAATATACTTATGTAGGATATAAGTTATATCCTACATAAGTATATAATATCTATATATTATGTAGTATGATACTTTTCAGCAGTAATCTTTTAAAAAGAGTTAAGAATATGTAATGTGAACAGTTTTTAAATATTACAAAGTAAAAATAAGAAAATTTAAATTATTTCTTGGTGTTTATTGCATTAAACTAAGAATGGAAAGTACAATAGAAAATAAAGATCCTGGAGAAAAATATTGAAATAACAAAAAAAAAAAACAGAAAATTAGTTTTGGTATTGTGACTCGTCAATTTATGAAAGTAACAAAATATTGTTACCAATTATAATTAATAATTTCCAATTTAAAATATGGACTTACATTAGGCTTACTTGTTCAGAATATATATCTATCTAAAAGCCTAGGTTACAAATTGCAAAGTCAAAGCGAGTTCTAGCTGTAAACCAAAAGCTAAGTATTAAAAACTAAAATATACTTTAAAAAATTGGTATCAATACATTCAACTATCACTGCTTTAAGCTTTCATAAACCACTGACACTAATCAGTATCCTATAAAACTTTAAGATATCAAACTAATTCATGTGTTAAATTAAATTGTAAATTAATTAATAATAAAAAAATTAACATGAATACGTTTAATTTTGTATTTATTTAACGCCTTGTTTTTATTTTTGATTTGTTTTTATTGTTTCTGTTGTTGTAGTTGTTGTTGTTGTGGTTACTTTTGTTGTTGGTGTTGTTATTGCTAGTTTACAAAATCAATGCGATTTTTATCTAAAATATAATTTTTGAATCGACTTATTTATGATATGTAAAAAATTACTGTTTATGGCGCGTAATAAAATTTATTTAAATGTATTTGTTTGATAACATGTAAACAAGTCATTCAAATTTAAAATCGAAACAAGTTACAAATAACTGATTTTAAATCTAAAATAAAACGATAAACTTAGGCTATCCATTATGTATAATGTTTATTGTATTAATTCATATTTAAAATTGTTAGTTAAATGTTCATATTTAAATCAGTGGCGCCAATTGCATTTTTTGGTCTTCGAGATATTTATGGTCATAAATTTTGTTGGCGAAAATATTTTACTATGAAACTTAAAATTTATCGATGAATATAAGTCTAGTTGAAAATAGTACAAAAAATATTTCATCAACTTGTTGCTCTCACGTTTAAGGCAGGAAGGGTGGGGCAAAATTTTAGGCTTTTTCTGTTCCCAAGCTCCAATCATCACAATTTTTTGCTTCGCATCCTTATTTGACATAAGTATAAACATATAAATGTTTGGAGTTTGCTCCATGTCTGGAAGTTAGCTATCTCAAAGACCAAAAAATGCAATTGGGGCCACTGATTTGAATTCATATTTTAGATTACATTTAAAATGAACCATAATGGCATAATTCATTTCGGATAAGTTGAGTTTTTCTTTTACAGTTAAAAGTTTTTTACAAGATAAGCAACAACATAGTAATAAATCAATAAAAGACTCTGTAAATGAAAAACTTTACAATTTAAAGCATAACTAAAGACAGCATTTTCAAAAAATTTATTATGCCATTTCGTTTTTATGCTTATTTTATTATTTTTAATTTTTCCTTTGAAAATAAATAATCTGCAAACTAAAAAAGTTTTGTTATGAAAAACCATTCATTCTTTTTGAATTTAAAATGAAAAGTTTAAACAAAATGTATATTTGCATAAGGGAAATATATGTTGCAATAAAAAATAAATGTTGCAATAAAAAATATATGTTGCAATAAAAAATAAACTACATCATATAAAATCAAGTATAAGTGTTGAGGATATTCTATATTTAAAAAAAAGAGTCAACAAATTTGGAACTCATGTCCAAATTTGTTGACTCTTTTTAAAAAAAAAAGAAAATCTTCAATACTCATTCTTAATCTTATACAATGTAGTTTATTTTTTATACACTTATAGAATATAGTTTAATAAAAATGGAATATAGTTTCATAAAATTAAAAATGTACAAAGTTTTTTAAATTTTATTTTATTTTTATTTATTTTTTAAATTATTCACCTCCCCAAGACCCGAGGGGGCCACTACAGTCGAGGAGGCTACTCATTTTTTTTGTTTTGTTTTTATTATTATTATTATTATTTTTGTAAATCGTGGTCAACCCTCTCTCAATTCTTTAACTCCGAAACACGAACCTTGACAAGCAAGACCGCTTCGCGGAGAAATTAAGTTGAGCGCGGTACTTCCAGGGACGTGGTGGGAGTCGAACTTAATCGATTCTTAATCATCATTGTCACAAATTTTAGCATTAAGGTATTTTTTAACGGAATTTTATATTCCGTTATTTTTATTCAAGATCAAAAGATTGTATTTTGTATGCCTTTCACAAAAGATTGTTTTTCAGATGTCTGAAAAATCTTTTGAGGATTTTCTGATAGCGATAATGTTTTATTATGATTTTACGGTTTTATTATCTTGAAATTGTTTATCATAACACAAACTTTTTTAATGTTTAACTTGCCACAAGAATTCGTCTATATTGTAGCCAACTTGAGGATCAACCTGAACAAAATCCTGTTGTTTTTTTTAGAATTTGACGATTTTGTCCTTCCACTTTGAAACCCGTGTTGAAAATCTAAAGGGTGGCACCAAAAGTTTACCGCACTGGATAACACCGACACCAGCGACACCACTGTATATATAATATATTCTCTTTAAATTTGTTATTGCGATGTTGGTTTATTTTTTCTTTTCTGTTTTTTTTTTGGCTAATATTGTCTTTTATAATATTAATTTATTTTACTTTTTAGTATTTTTACTTTTAAGTCTATAACACCATTCTAAACATTGGTACTTTTAAAAATTCATTATTTCATAGGTTTTACTTCATATCCTAATGTAATGATTAATTTCTAATCTCATAATGTTAAGAAGCAAATACTATATTTTAATTTCTTTTTTTTATTTTTAACCTTGGACAACTTTTTTGATTTTGAAGAATCATCCAGTCAAAAAGTGACACCCAATTGGCGCAAAACATACATTTGCGAAAAACGCGGAAATAAAATTTGCAGTCACCTGTTCACATCTATAGAAAAAGTTTGTTATACGTCATATTTCAACAATTTGTTTCGTCTTGAAAAAAAAATACTAAAATATATTAAATACTTCAATGAAGTTCGATTAAAACAAGATTGATGATTGGATACGCAATGTTTTTAAAAATTGACATAATTTGGTATAAAAAAAAAAAAAGAAGAAGAACCCATTAAAATATGCTCTACAACCGAATGCTTGCAAAAAAAAAAAATTCTTATATAATTTTTTTATATTTTATTTTTGCTTACCATTGAATGAACACCAACACAGATAACATTACAGATTTTGTGTTTCATAAATCCGTCATACAAAAATCTTCAAATAAAGAATATTTCATTCAACAAAATGTTTTCGAAAAAGAAATCTTCGTCTTTTTTTTAAATCAGTATTAATACCTGGCTAATTACTTTATATATATATCTATAGCCAAATTCCATTTTAAAATTATTGCATATTGAATTGAAATTTTTTTTTTAATAAATGTGAATACTGCTTGTACCCTATTTTTTATGTATATTCTTGAACACGCGTATACTTGAATAATTTATTACAGAACATTTAAATCTCATAAGCGTCTTTTCAGTTTCAAAGCTAGATCGTCGAAATAAATGCCTACGAGCCTATTGACTGATTTTATATAAACTAGCAATATATCCCATTTTAATAAATTTAAAATAAAAAAAAGGATTGTAAAACAAAGATTATGTTTACTAAATATACATATTTAAAATAAAATAAAAAAATAATACAATAATAACAGTAAAATTAATATATTATTTTTAAAGTCATGTCTAAAAGTAAAGTTATCAATTCTTTATAAAAAAAAGTGTAATTAATTTCTAGTGTAAAATACTTCAGATGAATATGAAATAGTGCAGTAATTAGAATTGTAATTTTAAACTTGTTTTCTTCACTGATATCAAATGAACACAGTTATCAAATTAAAATTGTATTTAGAATTCAATTTAGATATTTTATTGCTATCATATTTGTTATTAAAATAAATGTCAAAAAACTTTGTCTCTTTTTAAACCATTCTCGTCTAAAAATATTTTGAAACATATTGCTGATATACGGAATTCTATTCGAAAGGTTTATTATTTTTAAAAAACTTGTTCAATTCAATAGTCATATGAGCAGTTTATGTTACAATAATCAAATCGTGTTGTGTTTAATTCGTTAAGCGAATAGTACTATTCGTTAAGCGAATAGTACTATTCGTTAAGCGAATAGTACTATTCGTTAAGCGAATAGTACTATTCGTTAAGCGAATAGTACTATTCGTTAAGCGAATAGTACTATTCGTTAAGCGAATAGTACTATTCGTTAAGCGAATAGTACTATTCGTTAAGCGAATAGTACTATTCGTTAAGCGAATAGTACTATTCGTTAAGCGAATAGTACTATTCGTTAAGCGAATAGTACTATTCGTTAAGCGAATAGTACTATTCGTTAAGCGAATAGTAAATATTCGTTAAGCGAATAGTATTGTTCGTTAAGCGAATAGTACTATTCGTTAAGCGAATAGTATCCTAAATGCATCCCAGTGGGCACAAGACGTGTTTAAGACGTATAAAATATGCATCTACTCATATAACTAGGTTTTTCACAAAAAAAGGATACAAAAAAAAAAGAAAAAAAAAGAAAACAATATACACTGAAGACCATGTCGCGCTTGCAGTATCAAAAATAAAAAGTAAAAAACTTTCACTCAACAAAGCAACAACAATTATTCAGCATACCAGTAGCAATTCTTTATAGACATGTCGGTGAAACAATTGGTTTTAAGAAACTGTTATTCGGGAAGAATGAAATATGGAAATTAATGGGTAATTAAAAGAATACTTAATTAAAAATTCAACCAACGCTTACAGCTAAAAGAAAACAATCAATTAATAAAGAAAACATTTTTCGTTATGTTAATAAGTTATTCGGGAAGAATGAAATATGGAAATTAATGGGTAATTAAAAGAATGCTTAATTAAAAATTCAACCAACGCTTACAGCTAAAAGAAAACAATCAATTAATAAAGAAAACATTTTTAGTTATGTTAATAAGTTGACTCTATAAGGAGTTTTGGAGGTTGAGTTGAGTTGTCTTTTGTGCTGAACTTTTTAATGCAATAAAACTTTTCATATATCGCTATTGCATGCATGTTTGACAAAGCCAAAACTTGCATTTTGAATTTTCGTACCAATACCATTCCCTAATTTGACTTGCTGAAGCTTTGTTAAAAACATTACGGCGCTTTTTTTATTTGACTTACTTAAACAGCTTTTTTTATTTGACTTTACAAAAACAGCAGCAAACCAAGAATTGGTTCGCTGCTGTTTTTGCTGTTAGAATTGCTTTTGTTGATTGATTTACCTGCTTCTTATCATAAAAGTTAAGCATACATTGTTTCCTAGCTTGCTTTGCTGCTTTTAGCTGCCACTATCTTTCAATTTTCTGAGTATTTTATATTTATTGAGAAACTCCCGATTGCATTTTGGCACCTCTACATTTCTTTTTATTTTATATTGACGTGTTGAATGCAAAACATATGCTACAAAGTTACGGAAAGCAATTGAGCTGATTGCAATTGTTTTTAACTTCTTTTTCATATTGAATAGCCAGAGTTATATTGAATGTTGGTTTCAGGTGAGTTGGCGGTGGAGTTTACTTTGAAGAAGTTGCTATACGATTTATACAGATGTTATTTGTGTAGATTTAAAAGAAATTAGCTGAGATGGTGTAGCTATTGGTCATCGCGATGATGGCACTGGGACAGATTCTGGTAGTTGAGATGACAAAAGCTCAAATTAAGATGAAAGTATTTCAAACGAAGGCGGCTTTAGCAGAATAGGAAAAATAACGTTAAATCAAAAATAAGAAGCTCAAAAATATTGCATACAAAAATCCACTTTTAAAGACCGCGTAAATCAAAACGTTTTGGTATCCTTGGTAAAAAAACAGTTTTAACTATGGCTGAAGACCTTATGTTATTTGCATATAGAGGTTACAGATATTATACGGCTTAGGTAAGAAGAAGACAAACTCAGTCTTATCGCTCAGCCCCTTTAAAATATTAATAAAATATTACCCTACGCCGTTAAATTCATTTTTTTTACACCACAATGTAATATATGCAAATAACACATATATAAATACAATTTTATAACTATAAACAATCTTGTTCTTCATCTTTTGTAGGTGTATGAGTAAAAAATTAAACAATCTTGTTCTTCATTTGTATGAGTAAAAAATTGCTCAAGTTCCGATTCGAAATTTTTTGCTGAAGAAAAAACTGTTCTTCATTTCTTGAAGTAGTAGTCGCTTAGCATTAGGACTTGCTTTTAAATCTTTATTATCGTCTAATTCTGAAAAAACTACAATCAGGTAAATAAATTTACTGAAATAAATATAAATTGCAATAATCAACAAATTATTTAATAATTGTTCATAATATATCATTTAGATAATAGTGAGAATTGTAATTAATTTAAGTAACTGCTTTAGGTTTCAAGCAATCTTTTAAGGTAATCTATATATAATACTTTTAAGTAATCTAATTTTAAGTCTCAAGTAAAACGGTAAAATAGGGTGACTTGATAAAGATGTTGTTTTTTTTAGGTGCCCTAAGAAGTCTCTTACGGTCTTATTATAGAGCACCGCGGATGAGCACTTAATTGAAAGTTCACGTTTCCTTCCTAACCAATGTTACAAAAATTGCCCGGAGTTGGGATTTGAACTACGAATTCTAAGGTGCTCTACCACTGCACCACGGCTACTCAGATTCAAAATTAACATTCTCATTTTATTATTATTTATTTTATATCGATACTTTTTATGACTGTATTGTAGCACAACGTGTATTTGTCTTTTTGTATTTTTATTTCCTTTATGATTATTTTTTTTAAAATCATCGTTATCAAGTCACCTGAAGATAGAGGGTGAGTTGATACACCATATGGTTTTCATTAAATATCACATTTAAAGGTTAGTGGGGTCAATTGAGACAAAGTTGATGTTTTTAAAAATTTATTATTAACAAAAATAATACAAAAAAAATCAATTGAACGTATCACATGAAAATAGAAGTTCAAATAACATTATCTGGAAACTTCAATTGTCCGTAACGAATATTTTCTGTAGTAGACTTTTTTCAGGGTGTTTTAGCCTCCTTCAAAAATACTTTTTTTGTTACCTGGATCATCTGTAAGGTTTATCTCATCATAGTTGACAATACTGAAAGGGTGCATTCTTTCAAGAGTACACTCCAAATTACCAAAATAGGTATTAATTACTTCCGCTGATACTGCAACTCTTTTAATGGTCTGTGACATTCTTTTACTTAGAGGATTTTTATGTCTCTTAAAAAATGACACAACCCAATCCTCACCTAGTAAATTGTTTTCAAATTTTGGCACATTTTGTCCAAATTTATTTACATACCCTTTGACTAGAACGTCCATGTTGGTTAATGAGAATCCCAGTAAAACAATCTTATCTAAAAAAAAAAAAAAAAAAAAAATTAATAACTTATAACTTAAATATTATAATAAATGTATATTATAAGAAATAATGTAATAAATATTATAAGTAACAATGTGAATGATGGGAAGAAACTGTTACATAAAAACTTGCCTATGCCTTGCTGAGTTGATGCCTTGCCGTGATGCCTTGCTAAAATATGCCGTTTTAAGCATGCCTATGTATACTATTTAATTTTATTGCAAAATAGAAATTAGCGTTGTCTGCTAGAACGACCTCCTCATTATCAGGTAAAGTAGTTTGTCCACCACATTGTTTCTGGTAAGTTTGCTTGAATTTTTCAAATATATTCTTTTTATCTACTCCATAAGTCTAATGCTTCTTTTTAAGTTAGCTTTCCTGATCGAATTTCATCAACAGTCTTTTCCAAGTCATCCTTATTAATAACTTTTCTTGGAGTTGTACCAGGTAGCCGTTTATAGAATTTGGATACAGTTTTATATTTGTAAAGAAGAGTAATAAACTTTAACAAAGATGTTCACAGTTCTAGTGTGATGACATATGTGTTGACAGTTCTAGTGTGATGACATATGTGTTCACAGTTCTAGTGTGATTTGATGCATGTATCAAGTCACCCCAGGTAGGGTTAAAAAGTTTTCAAATGTTTATATTTTTTCATCAAGATACTAATGAAAAAGTATAAACATTTGCAATTTTTTTTAGTTTTCAAGAACTAAAAAAATTGCAAATTCATAACATGAAAATCAAATCAGAACAGATTAGTTATGAAGATGGCGGGAAAAGTTTCAAAATGATCA